AGATACAATTCATAATAAACAGAAGCAGAGTATGCACAGCTCTGCTCCACATGGATAATTTTTTTGTTGTTGTTCCTATGTTACATATTGTAAGTATTTTCCAACCCTTTTCCCATGTATTTTTGAGAAGAAAAATAGCTGGTATATCTGCCAGTGTAGTGCCTAAGGCATTTGATGTTAACCTGAAGATTGGCAGCTCAAACCCACCAGCTGCTCTGCAGAAGATAGGAACAATTTACTTCCATGAAGATTACAGCCTTGGAAAACCACTGGGGCTTGCCATGAGTCAGAATTGACTTGATGGCAATGGGTTTGGTTAGGTTGATAGCATTTTGAAAACTCAAAGTAGTTACATTAACAAGATAATTCACAATTGAGTTTTCTCATAACTGTCACTAGGACTTACATTTCATTTCATTTTAATCAAGAGTGAAGATGCTGAGCATAGAACCCTGGTTTTAAGAAGGTAGTCTCCAAAAGGAATGAGGTAATGGGATAGTGGGTGCAATGGTTAATTTTATGTGTCAATTTGGTTAGGCTTTCATGCTTGATCAAACACTAGATCACTAGTCTAGATGTTTCTGTGAAGGTATTTAGATATGATTACAATTAATGACTGACACTAAATAAAGAAGATTACTCTCAATAATGTATTTGTATAAGTTTTGTTGTTGTTGTTATGTGGCATTGAGTTGGCCTCAACTCATAGCGACCCCTCCTTGGGTTTCCGAGGCAGTATCACTACGGAAGTAGATTGCCCCATCTTCCTCCCAAGGAGTGGCTGGTGGGTTTGAACCACCAGCCTTCTGGTTAGCAGTCAAGTGCCTTAGGCACTACACACTACCAGAGCTCCCTGTGTAAGTTTTACTGGACACAAAAAAGTTTTCTTTTTTTTTTTTTTTTCCAGTGTATCTTATCAGGAGGTACACAATATCAGCTGCTCTCATAACAGGTGATGTTATCTTTAAAGGTGATGTCTGCTAGGTTTCTCTACTATAAATTTTCTGATTTTTCAAACATTGTAACTAAAATAAAAGAGAACTTTGAGACAATGCAAATACATGTTCCTCATCAAATTTTCACTCATTAGTTTAACATTCACTGAAGATTCTTACATGAATCATTGTCATAATGATGATTTCCAAATGCTGATATTCTAATTCCATTAGTTCTGCTAGTTGACATTTTACCATAAGGAAAGGATTTTTCCTCTTCCTCATTTATTTATATCAGTATATACTCATGGATTCTTATTCAATGGGTCTATTACCCTTATTACTTATTTTGATGCTCAGATTTTCCCAGATTTGGCCAGTTGGCTCCTGTGTCTTGTTGACAAGACCCCAATGTTCTTTAAACACTCTTACTTTTTGGCATAACGACTATTATGCAAATGATATAAAAATGAATATGGTAATTATATGATTATATTTCACCAGATTTTTTCTCATATGATTATATTTCACCAGTTTTTTTCTTCACATTTGAAAATGTACCTGTCAGTACTGGTGGGGATCTTGTTGTTTCTGGTTACCATAGAGTTGACTCTGACTCATAGCCACCTTATAATTGAATGACACTTGTTGTTGTTGTTGTTATTTGCCGTCGAGTCGGCCCCGACTCATAGCGACCCCTCCTTGGGTTTCCGAGGCAGTATCACTACGGAAGTAGATTGCCCCATCTTCCTCCCAAGGAGTGGCTGGTGGGTTTGAACCACCAGCCTTCTGGTTAGCAGTCAAGTGCCTTAGGCACTATGCTACCATCTTCATTATCACGGATATGTTTGAATCCATTGTTGTGGCTATTTTGTCAATCCACCTCATTGAGAATTTCCCTCATTTTCGCTGACCAAATATGGTACCCTTTTCCAGCAATTGGTCTTTCCCGATGGTGTGTCCAAAGTTCATTAGCCTAAGTCCTGCCATCTTCCCTTCTAAGAAGCATTTTGGTTGTATTTCTTCTAAGACTGATTTGTTCATTCTCCTGGAAACCCATGGCATATTCAATATTCTTTAACAACACCAAAATTTGAATGCATTGGTTTGTTATTTTTTAATTGTTCAGCTATTGCATGTGTATCAGGCAATTGAAAAGACCATGGCCAATATATAAAACCTGCAGGGTTTCTCCTATAAAATTCACTTACACTTGTTAGAAAGGGGAATTTGTTTTCAGCTAAGAATATATCAGAATTAGCCACTGTGTTGCTTTGGGGCTATGATGTTAAGAAGAGAAGAGGTCTGTAAGTTGTAAAAGGATGAAAGAAGCATTGTTCCTGGTTGCTCCTTTTGCCCCTCAATACACCATAACCGCTCATTCAGGCTGCATGACTGAGATTGTGTGCTTAAGGACAAACATGGCTTATCTTTGCTGAGGTATTTAGATAAATTTGTTTAGATTGTGAATTTAACATCTGGGCCACTCCAGCAAACTCTACACCATCTCTGAATTTTGCACTTGACCTTTTGTGGCTTCCTCAGTTACTGCTTTTCTATCTGCCAAATCTATTTAGATCAGGCCTGCAAACTGACCAAAGGCATGCATATCTTTGTGTCATGCCAACTTTCATAGCTTATTTAATCACTTTGTTCCTATCAATCAGATAGGAAACAAGTAGCACACTGAAATGATGAAACAGAGAATATTTTTTTGAAGGGGACTTTTATAAAGGTCTAAGCAAGGTTAGAGGAAAACTCCAACGCATAGTGAAGCACCCCGAGTCCAGCAACAGAACTAAAAAGGCAAGGGGAGGAGTGATTCCTAGACCCCTGACTAAGTAGTTACAGTAGCAGGAAGAGGCTGGCTCATTTGAAGTGTGATTTTCAGTTGAGGAAGGCAGCTAGTACCAATCCAAGGGAACCAAGGAGAAAGGAACTGGAGAGCAAATACTTTCATTTCACTCTTTTCTTTCTGGTGCTCTTCTCCTGGCACTTGCTATTGGCCAAGACAATAATGAGCTAGAGGGCAAAGGACACCATTAACCCAATGCTTAAAGTCACCTTACTGAGGAATGGAGCAAAGCAGCAAACCATGGTGAGTAGTTCTGGAGGAGCAAGCAAAATATCTTCCTCATATACAGCCATCTTTCAAATTTTTAAAAGATTTATGGGCTCTAGTGGCCATCCACCATTGCTACAGCTTCTTTACTTTTTTTTCTTTCCGGACCATCAGGTTATGCTCTGACACATTCTGAAAGTTCCTGCTCGTAATCAATTACACCTGCTGCTTGTACCTCTGGCAGGTCCTTCTCCCAGTCTCATTCCTACCCCAGGTTTTCTGGTTGTCCCCAGTTAGGCCTGTATGGATGTGTTTAGTTTCCCTTCTCCAACAATTTGTAGAGTAAACTTATCCTTATCTTGTAAAACACTGTCAGTAAAAAGTAACTAGACAAACAATAAAATAAAAAATGTAATCTTTATTAGTTCTGCACATTTTTAATGTTGGTTAGCATCATTTAGGGTAATAATAGCATTTTCCAGCATGCAGTTCACGAATACAGTTTATCTAAGTAATTTTAAGAAAAAAAGGAGCCTATGGTTCGCTTCTGTAAGAAACACAAAGTGTCCCTATGTAATTGATTATATAAGTTCACTACTCGCATTCTTGTGGGGGGAAAAATCGTGAAATCCATTTATATTTGGAACAATCTAGATCAGCATGAGTCCAAAAAACAAAACATTAGAAAGTTAGAAAAAAGAAAGACAATATAAATAAGAAAGAAAAATAAGTACTATCCTAAATCAGTGCAGGCACTACCAGAAATGTAAATTATATTTTATATTCTTTCCCAATTGCAAAGCATAATTTGGATGTGAGTCGTGAACCTATTTTGCTCTTTAAACTATGAAATAATCTAAAATTAGCAAATGTAATAAAATAGCAGTAGTCTACAACTACCCAGTCTTGTTTTCATTTCTTAATTAGCAAATTTCTTCCTTGAAAAAGTGCTATGGACAGAAAGTAAGAAAAGTGATTGTGATATCAACCTGAAGATAATTTTCTTTTCTTATATATGTACATAATGCTGAAAAATAAAATAAAATGACTTTTTACAGTATTTATATTTGCTTATAAAATTCTAAACACATTTTTATCAGGGTAAGCAGTGTTTTGTTTTTTTAAACACATCTGTACAGTCTGGCTATACACCATATGTTATCCACTTAAATTTTAAAAATAACCAAAAAAGCTGTTAAAGTGCGGCAAACTATTGCTTAATGACTTAAAGGAATGAGATCTGTTGAATAATATCCTTGACATTACCACTGGCATATGGTTTCTCATAAGTGAGATTCTGAGCAGTGGGAGAAACCAGGTACAGCTGCATGGTAATATAAACATGCATTGAGAGCATCCAAACTATCTATGATGGTACAGAATATATTATATTACCTGTATAAAGCTTGCACTCTACATTTTGTGTGGTACATATTTGATGCAATAAATACTGTGCTTAGATCATTATTTGTTTGCTCAAACGTGCACCACAGGGTAAAATGACTATTTACATAATAAATAGCATTTCATTCACATATACAGTATCAATTTTGCTGAGAGCTGAAGATGGCTAAACAAAGTGCAGGATTAAGCAGAAATTTATAAAGGGTTATTTTGGTCAATTCAGTCTTCTGGGGGTGGGTGATATTCAGTATTCAGAATTTTTTTCTTTCAGGATCATAAACAGAAACGTAACATTTATGAGTCCAGACATTTGAATCAAGTTTGCATCTTCTAAGATTTCATGACCTACCCCAAAACGATCCACTTTGTCTAGGGGCTGAATTTGACAAAACAAGATCAGCGAAGCACCTCCAATTATTACCCAATTCCTCTTCCCAGAAACATGGATGAAATTGAAGAACTCACTGCTCTGTGACTTTTCTCATGCATGATCTGTGAGTGCAGCATGCCTTCATGCAAACCATGTCTTTGTGTAAATGGGAGGGTCATGTGGTTGCCACAATCCCTGGGGGACATACTTGTTAAAGAGGTCCTTTAGTCTAGTTCCCAACAGAAACCCCATTTACAAAAATAGTCACATATAATAAACAACACATGGATTAAAAAAAAATGAATCTACTAACAGATTTTGTAAAAATGTGACAAATGTGGCAGTTGAAATGCAAAGAGTGGATACAATTACTACACTACTAAAGTGTTTCATGTTAAATAACTCCCAAATTATAGCTTTGCACCCCTTTATGGTCCCTACAATCTGAGTAGCCATTTTGTCTCTTGTCTTCAGCAGTGTCAGCTGGTAGTGAGAACAGTAACCTCCTGTCAACGTTTTCTCCCCTTTACACAGAGTCACAGTCTGCCGACCAGGGGTCACTGTCTTAGTGTAGGCACTGACCTTAAGTATTTGTGTAAAAACAGTCAGTTTGGCATTGACCTCCTAAAGGAGTCCTGTTGACAAAAATACATCACCTTCACAGGCTGTAAACAATTTGTCATTCAATTATATTTGTTTTATTTCCCTTTGGCTTTTTCATCTTTGCCTTCTTGTTCATGTTTTTCTACAATTGGCTTTGTTACCCGGTCATAAGAGGGTGGACAAGCTGCTGTGGACATGGTCAAATCAGTTTTCTCTGTAATAGAGTTTTCATTTATTCTGTCAATTATCATGTCTTCTTTTACAAGAAGATTAGCCCCAGCTTTGATTTTATTTTTATTGTATGTAAATGAAGCTTGTTTTACAGTTCGCTTCAAAAGGTGGCGCCTGTAAGCACGCTGAATAATAACAGCAGATACCTCCTCTTGTTTTCGTTTTAAAGTAGTGGTAATTGGCTGATAGGAGACTTTGGAAGGATTGGAAGCCATGAATCGCTCCTCCATCTGTATTCGGAGAGCATCCATCTCTCCACTCTCCCCTAGAACCCGCTTTGTAAAAGCAAATAAGATATCAAGGCAGTGAATTCGGTCACCACTAACCATGGGTAAGTCCATGGCAATGAGCTGGAGTTTGTTTGGTTGTGGCAAGTTGAGAGGGGGTTCAAGAGCAGCTGCAAATTGAGATAGTTTTTCAAATTCCATGAACTGGGTCGCATCAGGATCAAACTTCTCCCAAACTTCATAGAACATCTCAAAGTCATCTTCACTCAGGGGCTCTGCGCTTTCTTCAGTAGCAACACTGAAGTTCTCCAGGATGACAGCAATGTACATGTTCACCACAACCAGGAATGATATGATGATGTAGCTGACAAAGAAGAAAATCCCAACAGATGGGTTACCACAGTCTCCCTTAACTGAGCTTCCAGGGTTATTTTTATTAGGGTCACAGTCAGGTGGTCCACTATTAAGAATAGGTGCCAACAGTCCATCCCAACCTGCAGAGGTGGTAATTTGGAACAGGCAGATCATGCTGTTGCCAAAGGTCTCAAAGTTGAACATGTCATCAATTCCCACTTCCCTCTTAACGTAAGCAAAGTTGGACATTCCAAAGATGGCGTAGATGAACATGACCAGGAAGAGCAGGAGGCCGATGTTGAACAACGCTGGGAGGGACATCATCAAAGCGAACAGCAAGGTGCGGATCCCCTTCGCTCCTTTGATCAGACGCAGGATTCGGCCAATCCTGGCGAGTCGGATCACTCGGAACAGGGTAGGGGACACAAAATACTTTTCTATCAGCTCAGCCAGAAACATACCTATTGGATAAACAACGAGATTACCAACCATTAGAATAGCAACCGAGTGTTCAAGTTAAATAATTATTTAATTTCTGTTATAGCTGCAACTGTTAGGGCTCTGTTATAGTGAAGTTTAGAGTACCAAAATTGAGTTACAGGATCTTAAATTTGACACATATGTAAATGTATGTGTGATATTTATAATAAACCAACCCTAATTATGACATTCAGCAATAAAGTCATCATCTAAAACAATCATAATATTTTTTGTCTTTAAGGGGTTTTTGTACACTATTTTTAGCTTATGTAAAATTCCAAATTAAAATCTAGAAAGTAAGCTAAAAATATGCAAGTCTGGCTGAACTGCAGTGGCCAACAGTATAGGTACAAATTATTATTTTGAAATTACCAAATCCCAGTTCCTCCTTTCAATCCTTATCCATCTAAAAGCATCTGCAGTTTTTCATGCCATTTTCATCTCTCCCTGGACTTGATGCTTCCTTATAATATTTTTGTATATTTATTTATATAAGCTCTGGTGCTTTTCTGAGGAGATTCAAGGCTGCTTTCTTGGTTTCCTGTGTCTCTAACATTGGTCTCTCAGTCCTCTTCTTTGAAGCTTCTTTTTCCAATTGTCTCTTAAATAAAGGCTGTACTGGATAGAGGCCCAAGAAACTTACGTGTCTATGAGTCATACTGCCTCATTATGAAAAAGAGTGGCCCTAAACAGGTGTTTGTCTATGTGTATGAAAGAGAGAGAGAGAGAGAGAGAGAGAATACAACTTGGTACTCTATTCGTGACTGATTATACCATCAAAAACCAAACTCATTGCCATCGAGTCGGATACGACTTGTAGCGACCCCTCCTTGGGTTTCTGAGGCAGTATCTCCATGGAAGGAGATTGCCCAGTCTTCCTTCTGAGGAGTGGCTGGTGGGTTTGAACCGCCAGCCTTCTGGTTAGCAGTCAAATGCCTTAGACACTATGCCACCAGAGCTCCTGATTGTACCATAGATTAATACAAAAATCAAATGAGTTGGGTGTAAGATATAAGGCCAACTTCTTCAGAGGTAATATGGCATGAAAATCTGCCTATTATAGGTACTTGGATGGTAAAAAAATTGACCCAATCAAGTAGTTTGTTTAGGAAAGATTGAATGCTACAGGCCCACAGACAGAGACTGTTTGCTTTACTGGAGCTTGATGATATCTTCAGTGAGTTGAGCCAATGCACATAAGGCCTGTTGCCCATTCAAGGCCTTGAATGTATGACTGGGAAATGGGGTGCCAGGCCACCTTGCTTTTCTTGCTGGTCATTACTATAAATCCTTCTCTAAGGTAATCTAGAAAATCTGACACCTGAAAGCACCTACCATGTGCATTTGCTGAGGTTTGGTTTTATCTTTATTGTCTTTTCACTACATGCTTTCCCTTATATTGTTCAGTTTCTGCTATTCTCTACATGCTGATGACTGCATACCTATATCTCCAATAGAACTACTCTTATGAGTACCAGAAAGGAGCTCTGGTAGCATAGTGCCTAAGGCACTTGACTGCTAACCAGAAGGCTGGAGTTTCAAACCCACCAGCCACTCCTTGGAAGGAAGGTTAGGCAATCTACTTCCATAGTGATACTACCTCAGAAACCCAAGGAGGGGTTGCTATGAGTCGAGTCCAACTTGACGGCACATAACAACAACAACAACAACTTCTCAACAAAATCATCCAGGTTTCTTTTACAGCACTTCAATCTCAACATGTTCAAACTACTCTTTAACACAGTTAATAGCACATTTCTAGTTAAAATGAATGGAGTTTTACTATATTGGCAAATAATATATTAATGTTTAAAATGGACAAAATAGAATGTAGAGCTTTCTATATAGTAGAAATCTCATATTGTAAAAAAGCAAACTCACCTAGATGAAATAAATAAAAATATTCATAGTTGTTTTCTCTGAGTAGTGAGATGACTTATAATCTAAATTTGATAGCTTTAGCTTTTAGTTATACTGAGCTGAACTTAAGAGACCTTGAATGTTTCTTACCTACAATGGAGAGAATTACAACCACGAAATCAAAAATATTCCAGCCTATAGTAAAGTAATAATGGCGGAGGGAGATGAGTTTCAGCACACACTCCCCAGTGAACAGGACAATGAACACCAGGTTGATGCGTGACAAAATATTAGTCATTTCTTCACTCTGGTCATCTGTTTCTACCATCATAGTGACCATATTGAGACAGATTAGAATCATGATGCTTATGTCAAAAACTTGTCTAGTTACAAAGTCAAAGACCATTCCTTGAAATTTGTTCTGTAGAGATTAAAAAAAAAAAAAAAGGAAAGAAAGAAAGAAAAGCTTTTAACAACAGAAGAGTTTTCTTGTGTACATTAGTATTTGCATAAGTACTTTATGCATTCATTGACTTTCTAGTATTACATATAGTAGCCATTGGTCCTGAATTTTGCTGGATGGTTTGCAGTGTATTAATTTTAAAAAATGTTGGTCTAAGTTTATATTTCTCAATGTATATTCCTCAGAACAACAATCTCTAGTCCAAATGAACTCCCAATGAGAAACACTATACACTTCTCTTAGAGGTACACAATGACTATCAGCATATTGAGTATGAAAAGTTAGGAAACCTGTTTAGTTTTGTTCACTCAGCATTTCTCATAACTACTCGAATCATGCAACCCTTTTAAAATAGAGTATCTGTTAACAGTCTCTGTGTCTTACTCTCCTAAGAATTATTAAAGGCAACTTTGGATTTTCAGGGCACACATATAATATTATGCATTTAAATCCCACGTGAGAAATATTGAATGTTGAGAATGTTGAGCCTCACACAGGGATAATCAGACCAGAATGGCATTCCTTATGTTTTGACTTTAACCCATTCATATCCCTTGTCCCTAAGCTGGCTCTGTTCTTCAGATCTGCTGTTGTCAGTCACTGTAAGTCATAACCTGGCTGATTTATCTGAGCAACTCTCAGAATGTCTTCTCTCTTATATTTTTTCTATACATTTTGTACTTATATGGGAGCTCTGGTGGCATAGTGCCTAAGGCATTTGACTGCTAACCAGAAGACTAGCAGTTCAAACCCACCAGCCACTCCTTGGAAGGAAGGTTGGGCAATCTACTTCCATAGTGATACTGCCTCAGAAATCCAAGGAGGAGTCGCTATGAGTTGGACCCAACTCGACAGCAATTTTTTTTTTTTGTACTTATATAAAATTAATTCATTTTTACTTCCAGTGGGAAGGCAGTGGACTTAACAAAATATATATTCCTATAATTTTCAAGAAAGCAACTACTGTCTAGAATAATTTAAATGACTCTTTTAAAGTTCACTAATATTATTTCCTGATGTACTTCAGGAATTATTTTTTACCTCACAGATCATCATCATATACATCATTAGAGTTTCAGATGATGTCTTTCCATTTTCTCTGCAGTGTTTTTGTTCCTCTCTCTATTACTTGTCCACTACATTTAGTCAATGATCAGCACTTGCTTGTGTACATCACATTGCCTATGTGTTTTTTTTTGTCATTTACTTTGGACTCTGGTTGTGTAGCTTCAAATCCCTTTAAGACAAGGATGCTTTTTCTATTTCTTCTTTTCCTTTTTTTTGTCTTTTATTCTTTTTCACATTTTACCACTATCAAAAGAGGTATGAGTTAATATTGCTCTAAAAGTGGAAGAAATCCTTGCTGCTGGAAATGTTAGCTGCTATGTCTTCTGTGGGGGAAAAAATGCAAGCTTTTCTTATTGTTTTTCTCAAATCATTTAGCATTTCTTACTCCTGGTCGAGGTATCGGCTTTTGTGGCTTTTTTGATCCTAGTTTTTTCATTGCATTATAGTATTTCTTCTGTTCTTCTGTCATAAAGATGTCTTGCCCTCCAAAGTATAGAAAAGAAAAATCAAAACTGATTAAACTGTGTCCTTTTACACTTTTCTTCCACAATGTTAAACTTAATATAGGAAAAGGACATTTTGAAAAAAAAGGCAATATCCAACTAATCAGCATAATAGGAACTAGCATTTTTAAATTTGAAAAATTAAAGAGAAAACTCAAAATTTAATTAAAATTAAAGAGATAAAATTTTTATAATTAAAAAATTAAAGAGTTAATAACATATAAATTACAAAATGGATGAGGGTTAGTAATAAAAAAAAAAAAAACACTTTTACTTTGCCAGGAGTTGGAATAAAAGAAATGGAAAGAAAATTGGACTAATTAATAGAAAAATTTGGAGATTAATCAGAGGTTGTAAATATGTCAGGTGTATGATAGGCCAGGAGGTAGAGGATTGGGACTCAGACTTATTAGTGAGATGGACAAGTTATCCATTTATAACTACACAACAATAGCTTATCAAATACGGAGTAATATCAGCAATAAGAAAAGGGGACAGGCAGGAATGTTCTATGGCATTTTATGCAACAAAATCATTCATTACATTGACAAGAAAATGTATTAAACAAATGAGATGAAGTAACAGTACATAAAGGAGGAAATACAAATTTCTAATAAGCACTTGGAAACTATTAGGACTAAAAGATATATTGGTCTATTAAATATGAAATATTAAAAAATTAAATACAATATTGGTCTATTAAATATGAAATATTAAAAAACAAAGAAAATGTCTGATGCCAGTGAGAGGGAAATGACAGAAGTACATTGATACACTGTTATTGGAAGAACGAACTTGTATATGACTTTGGGGAAGCAAACTATTTTACTTTGGGGACTTATTCTAAAGACAACTTTTGTCATACAAAGATTTTAGCCAAGGAGTTATCTAATTATTACAGATTAGAAAGAACTTAAATCATCAACCTATTGGGAAATGATTAAATAAATTATATGTGCATGTATGTGTGTGTGTATATATATTATGTGTGTGTGTATACACACGCACATACATACACACACATATATATGTAATTTAAGAATTAAAGAGTTAGTAGCATACATATTACAAAGTGGATGGGGGTATGGAATAAAAAGTGACTTTTACTTTGCCGGGAATAATATATACATATACAAAATCCTGGGTAAGCCAGAGCCTGTGTAAGGCAGAAACCTGAGAGAAGGAACACAGAAACATTTTCCACTAAAACAAGTGGCACAAAAGTGGTAAGACTGCACCCTGTCAAAGGTGGGAAACATGCATGAAAAAACATGCATAGAAAAACAAGTCAGTCCCATCAAGTTCTGGCTCTGTACAAATATATAAAGTCTAGTAACCAGATGAGACAATACATGTGATAAGTCAGAAGGAGAATTTATAGTTATATATAAAATAATTTTAACAATAAGAATACACATAGAAAAAAATTTGGATAGAAATAAATAAAATGTGAATAATGGTTACTCCCAAGTGATGCTACTTCTTTATTTTCTATATTTTCTGTAAAGCATATATATATTTGGACAATAAAATAAACTTTGTAAGTGATACTTATTAGTAAATGCAAAGCTATTAAATTCAAGAATGGAAAAGTTAGCTTCTAATTAAATATTAGGGAAAAAGAAATGGAAATATATACAAAAGAAACCAATGAAGCAATAGTGTGAGAAGAAATATTGGAAGAAGCATACAACTGGTGCCTTCTTTCTTACAAAGATTCTAAAGATTTTAGTTGCAAAACACATTTTAATGGGGAGAGACTGTGGAGATAAAAATATACAAACATGACTTTGGAAAAAGGTATATTCCTGGTCTCTTTATATATATATATATAAAGAAGAGTGGGGTGGTGGTTTTTTGAGCCTGTGCACAAGAGTATGGAAACACAAACACGTGTTGCTATATACCCTGTTTGGCTTCTGAATTAAAGTACTCATTTTGTGGAGAAAGCACTTCAAAGCACTTTCCTATTTTAGTGGGAGATAAAATATTAGGAATACTTATCTTCTTTTTTTGCTGGTTGAAATTATCTATGATGACACCAATAAATAGGTTCAAGGTGAAGAAGGACCCAAAGATGATGAAAATAACAAAATAAAGGTACATGTACAGACTTTCCTCATACTTCGGCTGCAATTCCACCTACCAGAGGAGAATATTTCATAAAATATTAGGATACATTATGATGCTGGAAATGTCACTGGTGCATTTTCATATAAGAATAGACAAGAATACTTCTGGGAATACTTTAGCAGTTCTTTTTTCCCTAGATTCAAGAACCCCTAAAAACTCTCTGAAATTAGCTTGAGGGATGTTTCATGGGGAAAATATGATTCATAAAACATTCTAATGTCACTTTTTTTTTGTAACTAAATACAACAAATATTTTGCTATTTGGACAGCAATGTAGCAAACTTGGCAAATTTTCAAGATATTGAATTTTTATGATCTAAAAATTATTAATGAAAAACTTTACCTTAGTAAGTATGTGTAGACTGTGTTTAGAAATAATTGTTCTTTTACATAGGGATTTACTTAACAAATAAGCATTGAGTAATTCATTTAGGTAATTGGTAACACAATCTTAATACTACAACATTAATTGAAATTTCTCATATTAAGCAGGCATAACTATATATTCCAGGTTTTAAATCTTCAATTGAGAAATACAATGTAACCCCTATATTGTATTTGTAATAAATAGGCATTGAGCTATTGAGAATAACTTAGGAGAGTGGTAAAGGAGTCATTATATATAGTTCCCTAATACAGTGATGTCTTTCTAAAGATACAGTTAAATCAATCGAACACAAAACAAAGCAAAAAACAGTACAGCAAAATAAGAAAACTCTAGAAATTATCAAGAAGGTACTAAACATAGCACTAAAGCCACTTGTTGTTGTTATGTGCCGTCAAGTCAGACCTGACTCATAGCGACCCCACCTTGGGTTTCTGAGGTGGTATCACTATGGAAGTAGATTGCCCAACCTCCCTTCCAAGGAGTGGCTGGTGGGTTTGAACTGCCAGCCTTCTGGTTAGCAGTCAAGTGCCTTAGGCACTATGCTACCAGAGCTCCTAAGCCACTTATAGGAGTTGCATTTTAAGAAAGATTAAAAACTGAGCTCTATCAAGAGAGTTTAAGATTATAGGGAAGGAAGTCCCTCTTTTTGATGTTAGACTAAACAGGATGTGGCGTAGTGCCTAAGGCATTTGACTGCTAACCACAAGGCTGGCAGTACAAACCTACCAGCCACCATTCCTCAGAAGGAAGACTGGGCAATCTATTTCCATAGAGATACAATCTTGGAAACCCATGAGTCAAATTGTTTTGACAGTGGTGAGATTGTTTTTTGTTTTTTTTCAGTATGGAAAGATAAAGTCGTATAGAAAATATTAAATTTTATAGAGTTTTGAAGGGCAGAGTTGGAATGAGTATGGATTTTAGTTTACTTTTTAACAGGGCTTCCAACTCAGTGGAATTGGTGCAGTCATGACCAATAAACAAAACTGGAGTGGACTAGAATTTGCAAAATGTGGATGCCTGGAATGATAACCAGAACAGGAAAGATTATGAGTCAAAGCCCTGGAATGGGAGACTTGGATGAGGTGTACTGAGCCCTTTCAGGCATCTGGTGTAGAAGACTGCATTACTGCCAGGACTGTAGAGAGCAATACATGTTCAAAGTGGTGAGACTGGTCATCATCTTTGAGCAGGGCATTGTTGTTTCTGACTCTGCTGCGTATGAGTTGGTTGCTATGCAATGCACATGCTGCATTTGTTTACTAAGACCGAGATTAAGATTCTAGCAGGGCGTTGATCTGTAATTTTCCTGTTCTGGTTGTTATTCTAGGCACCTACATTTTATAAATTCCAGTCCATCTCAGTTTCTCTTAGTTGACTGTGACTGAAACAGGAAGAACCAGTTTGAAGCCCTGCTTTGGAAAGCCTGAAGGTGACTATTGTAGGAGGAATCTAAGAAAATATCTCTTTGTTTTGATGGTATAAACTTAAAAAAAATTACTGGCTGTAAGAATGGTAATAGCATTGGTAAAAGCTTCAGTAAATTTATGGATGCTAAAAATCACATAAAAGTATAAATCTGTAAGAGAATATTATAGAATTCTAATGCTGTCTGGACAACATCCCTGTCCTTTCTTAGTGTCTAGTAAGAAGGGTAACAAAACATTTTAACTAATGATGGTACTCATGTATTTCTTCACTATCATTCCTTCACATCAAAATTACGATTGATTATATACTTTGTAGCTAAAAGGAAACAAAATAGAAAAATATTTTATAGAAGTATATTTGTTAGTTATTGAATATATAAATGTTTCTTTACATTAACTTTAAAAATAATTCATGATTTGACTTGTTTTACTAAGATCTCTGGTAGCGTAGTGCCTAAGGCACTTGACTGCTAACCAGAAGGCTGGCGGTTCAAACCCAGCAGCCATTCCTTGGAAAGGAAGATGGGGCAATTCACTTTTGTAGTGATATTGCCTCGGAAACCCAAGGAGGGGTTGCTATGAGTCGCGTCCGACTCAACAGCACATAACAACAACAACAACAACACTAAGATCTTAATCATTGTTTTACCTGAATATAATTTGAGTCATATATTTTCTTTATTGTTTTAATCAATATAGAATCCTTTTATTAGCCTGCTTGAGCTTTGCTAAATTAATTGAAGGCCCTAACTGAGATGGTGGAAAGACTTAGAATTTAAGAAATACTTACATTTCTGGAATCAACAGCTGCATACATTATATCCATCCATCCCTTAAATGTGGCCTATTAAAAAGAACGTGAATGTTTTACTTTGGAGTTAAAATAATTCAGATCTGGTGTTTCATAAATATTCTTACTAATATATTTTGCAAAAAAAGGAACATTTTTGAAAGACATTTGAAAACAAATTTTACATAGATTTTGGCCTGAGATGGTATCTTAGCATTTCTACAACACATAATGAACAAAATGTTCATTGATATATTCTCCTCCTGTTTGATAACTAGCTCACAAATACTTGTCAGTTTTTTAGAGTTAATAGAATCATGCAATTTAAAAGCTATTAGAATTTGGTAGAATGCTTTTAGAAAGCTTTATAAATGCCAACATATTTGGCAACGTCTGTAGTAGTAGAATGATTACAGCTTAAATTTGATGATCGTGCACTGAAATCTATCTGCAAAGTGATCAAAGGGGCTGAAAATTTAAGATTTCTCTTGATTATAACAAATCTGAGGATCATACAGATATACATAAAGTCAGAGTTGCAAGTATCCTTTTAAGAATTTTGATATATATATATATATATATATATATATATATTCAGATATAATCCTGTATGTATTCTGCTTTCTTCGGTGTATTTCTTGATGACAGTGAGTTCACAGTGGTTTTAAAAAGAGTGGAAAAAAGTACAGTACCACTTGGAATCTATACATTCAACGAGGGCATAAAGTCTATAGATGATAGTAATTTGTTGTTCGTGCTAGGACATGAATTTTCAGTCCTGTCCGCCCAAGAGACTTGTTCCTTAGCGAGTAAGTGAGCCTAGGAAAGCTTTCAGAATCTGTATCACAACATATTTTTGTTTTTACGACACCAATACTTGTGAAGTGGTGGATACAATGAGAAGAAAAGCTAGTATGTGTGTGGGATGGCAGTGAAGAGAAAGTAATGATCCTTGGCTAGAAAACAGAAGTTTTTCTGTGCATCAAAGAGGGAAATGATAAATGTGCTAGTGGCTCGGGGGAACGCTGGAACAAGTCTATTATATGCTTGGTACAGGAGCAGGAAAAAATGATTCAAAGAACCATTTAAATGAACTGCTAATCAACAGAAAGGTGATTGCGAAAGGTATAGTAAACCAAAGTCGAGAATATTCGAGAGTTTATTTTAGTAACAATTTATTTCATTTCTTCACACAGGACCTTTGTCCTATATTTTCAGCATTGTTTAGCATTTGAACAGAGGAAATAATGCACATTAGTGATATTCACAAGTGTGGTTATTAATGAAATATTAGGATAAATGCCCAAGGAAATATAATGTGTCTACTATAATATTTAAAGATATCACACTTGCCAAATTTCTTACCCTCCTATTTTAATTACAAAAACATCCAGAGTAAGTTAAAAACATCCACAAGAGCAATAAGAATTTCCAACAAGGTGGAAAGGATTCCAAAGGGAATTATAGTTCAGACACCTCTGAAAGAGTTGCAGGAGGGTTTGACCAGCAGAGGCTGACTTATTTAGTCTCCTGGTTAAATAATTGAAAATATAAGACTGATGAACAGAAATATATTCCTGCCCCAAAGAATCTGCAGAACCATACAAGAAGAAATTATGCAGCTTTTTACTTGTTTATTTTAAAGCTGAGTTTTCAGCAGCCAAAGTAGGGCAGTATTTTTTACGACATTTTTCAAGCACTTTGGAATATGTTTTATCCACTGCTTTGCTGTGCTTCAACTAAAGCTAAACCCCAAAACAAACCCACTGCCAATGTAGTTGATTCCAATTCATAGCGACTCATAAAACAGAGTAGAACTGCCTCACAGAGTTTCTAAGGCTGTAATTCTTCCTGGAAGCAGGCTCTCATCTCTTTCTCCCACAGAGCTGTGGTGGTGGGTTCAAACGGGGCCACTAGGGCTCCTCCCACCAGCTTTCACAGATTTATAACTTGTCGACTCCTTTTCTTCTATGCAAATCAGTCTTGGATTCCCAGTAGTGAAAACACTGACATTTAGTATCACATAGAGGTAAGTAAAGGAGCTCTGAGTGTGGTGGTTAAGGTATCTGGCTACTAACTAGAAGATCAGTGGTTAAAACCCATCAGCCTTCTGTGAAAGCCTCAGTCAAGATTTACAGACTCATTGTGAGTTGGAATCCACTGGATTGCTCTGAGTTTTGTTTTTGGTTTTAGAGATGTAAGCAATGTAACTGAAATGTCATTTGAGGTGAGCCAAAGGTTGCTTTTGTTTTGTTTTTGTGTCAAGGTGCCTCCAGATATTATCTCCATTTCATTATCAGGATCTAATAATAAAACCTAAATATCATCCACTAATCTTCTCTGGTAGCATAGTGGCTAAGTCACTTGCCTGCTAACCAGACGGCTGGCGGTTCAAACCCACCAGCCACTCCTCGGAAGGAAGGTTGGGCAATCTACTTCCGTAGTGATACTGCCTCGGAAACCCAAGGAGGGGTCGCTATGAGTCGGGGCCGACTCGACGGCACATAACAACAACAACAACAACAACAATCTTCTACCCCAATGATATTTCTCAGTAGCAGTTAATTCCCACTAGTTATTTACAATCAAATCAGGTGTGTTAAGCGTGTGTATTTTGGGGGTGACCCATCAATGGAACAAGCTTTCTAATTGCAATGCAAAGAATAATAGCAAAGCTGTCGATTTATTGATCAGTGTGTTCATATGGGAAGAGAGAGTAACAGGGGGAGTAGGGGAAAAAAGATCCTTGGAGAGAACTGAAATACTTGGCCATTATTGATTATGTCTGCACAGCTTAAATATAATCAAGTTTCCATTGATCTTTGCTCATAAACTTGTACTAATAAATCAAAATTTACAAAGTGAAAAATAAGAATTATTTTATAAACTTTCTTCTTAGTGACTAAATAGCAGATGTACAATTTTTTTTTTCATTATTTCAAACAATAGTGACAATAAAAGCAGAGAAAAGGGTGTTCACTTACAACTTGAAGCAAAGAGAGATAGCCAAATCCTACATTATCGAAGTTTACTTTCACATTTTTCCATCGGGCAGTCTCATTTCTTTCTATTAGTTTTAGGCAATCAGAATGGTTATTCACATCGGAGATGTCAAATGTGTCACCAGTTGTAGTGTTAATACAGTGGTAGAATTTGCCAGCAAACAAATTTACACCCATGATGCTGAAAATTAGCCAGAATATAAGACAAACCAGAAGCACATTCATGATGGATGGAATTGCTCCTAAAAGGGCATTCACAACCACCTAACATACAAATGGAAGAAAGAGAGAAGTCAGAATTCTTACCAGTTAAAAAGAAGAAAAAAGACATTCCCCTAGTAATCTTTAGTTTTTCTAATTCTTTTTCAACCAAGACTATTTATTCTAAAATATTTAAAAGCAAAGTGAAAGAAAAAAATCTTAAAAGGAAATTTATTATTTTTGAAGCAGTACATTTAAGGGAACAATTATAGGCAATATAACAAAGAAAGAACAACAACAAAAAACGAGTAGGGAAAGTACTGAAATGTTAAAGGAAAAGCAAAATCAGAATAACTTGCTGCCTAATTACATCAGAATATGTGTTGTTTATTAGAAAAAGAGAAATAGGAAATCCTAATGCAGATTAGCTCATTAAAAAGGCAACATAATAAAGAACAAAAACTGAAACACTTGGACATGAGTTGATCTGAACAATATATTTTTAAAATAAATAAAAACTCAGGGGTATAAATATAAAAATCTTATTAAATACCTAATATAATTTTATCCTTAATTATCCATGCATTGCTATGACTAATAATAATTTTTGCATAAGAAGCAAGACAATTTAGCATTATGTATTTCATTAGATCATCACATCGTTTATTTCAAGCTCCAGTCATGTCAGTTGTTTCATTTACTGAGTTTAATTCAATAAACTTATTTTAAATGAAACATAATAGAAATCAGTTTCTTTAGAAAAAAGGAGGGGTTCCATATACAGTGCCCAAATCTGATGTGATTACATCAACTTCTGTGCTAAATTATTATCTCCTTTTTTTTTTCCCCTACAGAAGAATATTCCTTCTATTATCTTTACTTTCTTGGCCCCAAATTTAAAATCTGAGTTTTCATATTTGTCATGTTTGTAGAGATGGCTGCCCTTGCTTCCTCCCCTGACAATTCTCATTGGCACTCCATATGAGTAGCAAAGAGGACCAAGCCCTAGAATGTTCATAAGTGGCAGATGATGCCTTAGACTTGACATTAGTAGTTAAGTTTGATTTTACCTGATTTACCTCTGTTCTTCTTGTAACTCTCATCTAAAGTAAACAGCAAATATCAAAACATCTTGGATAGTATACCTGTCATTTGAAGTCTGTGTATTTTAGAACAAATTTTTTGATTGTCTATCTGAAAAAAATATATACATAATCCAAGTCTTTATGTTTCTGAGCCTTGTTAAAATCTGTAAAGAACCTTAGGATTTCTGGAGATATAAAACAGTATGAGAAATAAGCCAAAGGAAATAATAAAACCACTAATGACAAATATGGGGAAATGAACATGAAAAAATTAAATCGGGTTGAGTCATCCAGGCAGAACCAGATGATGTGTTCTATGCAGTCTACCAAGCCGGCACATGGCTCATTTCTCATTTGGCTTTGCATTAAAATAATTAATCCAATAAACCTTTATTTTACTTCATTTTTAATGTGCACATATGATGTTATTTCTTTGGAATTAGAAATTTGAAAACTAAAGGCAAGTTATTTATTGTACTTCTTTTCAGAGCATTTTGGCTACTATCCAGATTAAAAAGCTGTGTCCACTATTTAAAAACAGATAGTACAAGTTAAAATGCGTGTTTTACCAACAAAACCCGAAACAGAGTGTGAGTGTGAGTCTAACCCTACTTCTTGAATTTCCTTTCATATCTATGTTTAGGCCTCATACTTCTTTCTTCAAAACCTTTCTCACCTCTATCCCTTCTTTCCCATTCTCACTATCACTATCCTACTTACTTTATGCCTGAACCATGGTTAGAGTCTTCTCCCTTTGATTCATGTAAAATGAATTAATCTTCTACAAATTCCACTTTGAGAATATTACATTCCAGCTTTAAAATTATTTGATAGCTCCCCACTGATTATGAAATATTTTCCTTACCTTGATACTCAAATTATTCCACAATCAACATTTCTATCCTTCATGCCAATGCAACTAATAAAATTATGCAGTGCCAAACATTCTGTTCCGTGGAACTGAGATGTCACTGCTTTTGAAATTCTTTGCCCAATATCACCCCTTCAGAAATATTCTGTCTTACTGTGTTTTATACTCTATTCCCATAGCAGTTCTTCCAGGGAGCCTACCTCTCTCTCTCAAATTTACTCTCTGAAATAAAGATGAAACTATCTTCCTTGGAATTCAAGAATCAGAATTCTAGCACTGGACAGGACTATGAGATTATTTAGTATTGTGTTCTCATTTGAAAAATGAGTAAAAAGAAGCTGAAACAGGTGGAATTCAGAAAGGAAACTGGCAGTGGTATCTAGTGCTCTTATCATTCTACTTCTCTATTTCTTTCTAGAGTTGCTTGCAGGTGTATGGTACCTACATTGCTCTATATTTCAGTTAATTTTATTCCTGTAATTCTGATATATTATAACCTTTTTTCAAAATTTAAGATGCCAAAATTATATTTCTAAATTCTCCAAGGATTCCAGTCTTCTGAATATAAGAATATAAAAATGGCTAAATGAATGTATGATTGAATGAAAAAATGTAACTAGCTTATTAGCATTTATTAGTCAACACATTTAAAGAATGTTATTTCTGAATGCAGGAAGAGAATAATTAAAGAACTGAATACATGAAAAAGTTTGGGATTAAGCAATGAATCTGAAAAGTTTACTTTGAAACTGGGGATTAGTTCTGCCTTAAGATCACCTCTGACTATGAAATTTACAATTCAAGCAAGCCCTCTGCCGCAGTGCATTTCTGGATATGATTTGCAACATGGGCACTCATTTGATCTGCAGAAAATTTTATTTTTACTAAGATAGCATCTAAAATAACATCAGGCATAGTATTGGGGAATTTACCATACAAAGGTACATTCCTATTTAAAATTTCATTAAGTTAGACAATGAAAGGTCATAGAAAGGCTTGTCTTTTCCCAAGAGCCCTAAACCATTTCTTGCTTCAGCAGAGAGGGAGGTGTATTAACTCTTTGCAGTCCCTAGGGAACTACAGTAATTGGTTCCCACATTGTGAAGTCATTAGGTAAAATTGGCTTGAATAAATTGGAAAGAACAGATTAAGGTTTCAGGCTGCATAAAAGGATATGCCTAAGGAAGGAACTGTCTTAATGAATTCACACTAGACATTGCTTCTTCCCACAAACGTTTTTCAAAATGTCACGCAACAAAATTTTCTCATCTAGCACTTCTGTCAAAGCTCACAGTTATTGTAGAAACTCCTTTCTGCCTGGTTCATAAACTTTTTTTTAAAAAAATTAATTAAACAGTTTAATGAGGGATTGATAATTCAATGTTCAAATTAATGTGAGGAATGTTGATACAAACATAAATATTTTCTTATCTGAATAAATTATTTTAACAACATTTTGAAATCAATGCTATTCCAGGATTCTAATAGTTCTCTAGTAGAAATATGGAAAAACAGTTTGAATAAAAATCAAAAGGAAGCAAACTAGGGATTTTTTTTTTTTTTTTTTTGAGTAGGGAGTAGAGAAATAGTACCTTCTCATATGTTAAAGACTACATTAGTGTTAAAGGTTTCATTAAGGTAATTATTTTGGAAAGATAAGCTATATCTATTTTCCAAATAAAAAGTTTAACATTTTCTTCCTGTCAAAAATAAAAACTCTCTTTCTTGCACAGTATTTCTATTTTTTTACTTATGTTTTCATTATTATATCTTTTAAGATCTTAGAAAGCTAATTACTGTTGTTGTGTGTGCAGTTCAGTTGATTCTGACACAGTAGAACTGTCTCATAGGATTTCCTAGGGTGTGATGTTTATGGGAGCAGATCACCAAGTCTTTTCTCCCAGAGAGCCAGCTGGGTGATTTTGAACCAGTGACCTTTCAGTTAGTAGCTGAGCAAGTATTTTAACCATTATGCCACCAGAGCTCCTTTAAGGAGTTACTTATGACTCACTTTTCTAGGAAGTGAGTTTATGCATTAAACTTTATCTTAATACTCATGACAAGACCTTTTTATTTCTAGAGGTGTGTTCTATTCTGTATAATTCAAATAAATGGATACTTTTATATTATTTTTCCCCATTTTAAAACACAAATCACTTGTGCATTCAATTCTTTCATTTCCAAAATAACATATAAACTTATACTTAATAAAAAATGAGAATAATCATACAATTAATACCAGTGTTATGAAGTCTGAAATATTGAACATTAGCATCTGTTCACAGACATCAGCAAAGCAAGGGATCAACTATTGGCACCAAAAAGGCAAATTTTCAAAACCCAGACCAATGTACTAAAAAGGAAATTTCATATGCCTCACACAGTATCATCAGACAGATAAGTTAAAATTCTGACAAAATCATCCTACACAAGGGCTTCCCACCCCTCACCAATAACATCATTAATCTCCCATAAATGGATAACTCAACATATACATAACTAAATCCTTTTCAGTAAAACTTAATGAAGAAATCAACCATTGGAACAAAAGTCCACAGAGGGCAAATTCATACAGGTATGTTTTCAAAGAGAAAGACCATTGGAAAGAGGGGATTAGAATGGAAATACTGTATTTTCCCTACTGTGGTCCAATAGTATCTTCCCCACCCCCTCCCTCACCCCACTACACATAAGTCACAGTGAAAGGATTAAAGGTAGCAAAAGGGGTAATACAGTACCCATAATAAAGGGTTGAGGGGAGGAACCAGCGCTCCACCCCATCCAAGTTGGAGCAAGATTATCCTATATGAAATAGAAATATATAGTTTGTTATTAGTTAGAAATCTGATATGACAGAACATTTGGTGTTACTTTTTGTATATGATGCTCTCTGTCTGTTTCCCTATCAAGGAAGACTTGAGTTCTTTTGATAGACAGTATTTAAGATCTCCTAGATTAGGAAATTAAAAATACAAATTTCAATACATATTGTATTTTACTGTATATATTCATGACATCAATTCACTCAGTTCAGGTTTACAAGTTGAAAAATTTGGACTGGAAATTTGAAATACAATAAATGTTTAAAAGCTGTCAGCCAGGAATGTGCATAAAACATGCAAAAACTCAAAGAGCAACATGATGGTAACCTTTTACTTTCTAACTTGGTTTCAAGCACAGTAAAACATGCTTTATTTGCTAATGCTGCATAAAAGCACATGCTTTGAAGAAGTGACATAACAGCAAAAATAAAATGAGTGCCTGAGTTTTGCTTTAACAAAGCTATTACAACTTTATGCTGTTAGGGAAAATAATTAAATGAGAGTTTCTGAGCATTTTTAAATCTCAATTTCCAATTATAGTCATCAATATTATATTCATGCTCACCATCATAAAACTATATTTATATTTTTACTAAGTCAAAAAAAATCCAAACACTAGGAAAAAAAAAAAGAAATACACTTAATCATAAGGTTATTTTGTCTCTACAATGCCAAATAAATTTAGAAGTGACCACTGTTGTATTTGTGCTGTCATTATGAAGAAAGGCACCATATTAAAAAATCTGACAATTTAAATAGTTTCATTCTCAGCCAGCAACTGTAAGGAGCTTAGGTTTTTAAAATTCCAAGTTTCAAAAACACCCTTCTCCTTTAATATAAAAAATATTATTGATGAATAATTATGGGTAAAGTTGTTTCTGTAAAAATTTAAAGTAGGCTAAAAAGACCAACTTTGTTATGGAAATAAAGTGGTATATATGGGGGTATCTGACTATCTAACTCATGGATATAATAAACTTCCAAAAGGCCAAATTGATAATGCTTATAAGTGTTTTAAGAAGCCCTGAAGACTCCATTCAGCTTTCTGTACTATATACTTGATGATGGTTTCCCACACCCTGGATGATTGTTTTGTCTTTATTCTCTCTAAGACTTAATAACAGGGTCACTACAGAACATTTGGGGGGGAAAAAAAAGAGTTTCAAGGAGACCACCCTGGTGATACAGTGGTTATGTGATTGGCTGCTAACTGAAATACCAGTGGTTTGAACCCCCTGGCTGCTCGATGGAATAAAGATATGGCAGTCCGCTTCCTTAAATATCACAGTTTTATAAACCCATGGAATAGTTCTACTCTGTTCTATAGGATCACTATGAGTCAGAACAGATTTGCTGGCAGCAGGTTTTCATTTGTTTAAAACAGCTTCAAATCTTTAGCATCGTTCAGGTTTCAGAAGCCTTTTAAAATGCATTGCTTTCATTCAGGCAACAATTTCAAGCAGTATATATAAAAATAGTATTTGTCTTCAGCACTGAAATTATGAGACTTAAAAAAACAAACAAAAACATTTTCATTGAGCAACTTAAATTTTAAAAACCTCTGTAGAGAACTTCCAATAAAATTTTAGTGAAAATGTGAAGACCTCTAAGTAAAATACAACAGTTTGTATTTACTGTGTTGAATTGTTCTGATGAAAAAAATATTTTCATGTATGTTAAGTAAACTATAGTTATAAGTCTTATGTCTTCATAGTGACATTTATGATGAATTTTATTTTAGAAGAAAACTTCAGATTAATGTCATAAATGACCTAGAAAGCACAAATGGAAATCTATAATATAGTTTAGTTTCTAGAAACATAACTACACCTTAGGTAGCAAAAGAACAATGTCTATTGGAATCATACTTAATTCAGCAGTTTTGTTAGCATAAAACAAAGTTCATTTTCTTAACGTAGAACTGGTTTTTAAATATTGTATGTTATTGTTGTTGTTGTTATGTGCCGTCGAGTCAGCCCTGACTCATAGCGACCCCTCCTTGGGTTTCCGAGGCAGTATCACTACGGAAGTAGGATTGCCCAACCTTCCTTCTGAGGAGTGGCTGATGGGTTTGAACTGCCAGCCATCTGGTGAGCAGTCAAGTGCCTTAGCCACTATGCTACCAGAGCTCCCAAATATTGTATATCTTATATAATTTATTGCTTCATGCTTTTAAAAAGCTTTGAAAAATAACAAGACAATAATGGAAATATTTAGTATCTCTTATGAATAACAGTCAATGATTTAATGTTTCCTTAAAAAGAAGAATACAAAATTCTGATCAGTATATGTTTTCAAGTTAGTGTTACTACTCTCTGTGTGTTAAGAACACTAATGCAGTTACAAATTGAGGCTACATAAAATAAATCTTTTTAAAAAGTTTAAAAATAAGCCAGCATTTTATATCTACCTTTGAATATATTCAAATAATGCAAACATTAGCATTATAAAGAATACTTGAATATGGTCAAATAAATCAAAATTTGGCATTATACAGACAAACATTCTGACAACTCTTTTTATTTTTTTCTTTTACAGTTATACTTAGGCAAACATACAGTTCATTATTACTTCCAATAAAACTCAGTAGGTACAGTTAGGTGATCACAAATAAGAAGTACATAACTTAGATTTGCTTTAATTGATTATAATTTTATTATTATGTATAGTACTTTACTAGTGCACCTGCTTATTTGTATATTGATTGGTAAGGAAACTCCCAAGATGAATTAAGAAGTCATTTTAATAAGCATAGCGGATAAATGATTTATATCATTTCAAGGGAGGGGGCTTATGTTCTCTTGCATATCTCCAAAAGTAAATATGCAACAGATAAAAGAACAAAGTAGCAATTTTGCAAGGATTTGCCATTCCTTTTGCATGCATGGATTTTACATTTAAAAAATTTCATTGAATTTAATTTTGGCTATATGCAATACTACATGTTCTTTCATTTTTCCTTACCCTCATCCCTTCAAATCGTGATAAGGCTCTTAGAGGTCTCAGAGCTCTTAGTGTCCTGAGAGATTTGATGGCACCAAGTTCTGAGTAACCCAAGGCATTTGCTGTTAAACTGACCAATGAAACCTGCACACAAAAATAAAAGGATTTTTTTTTCATTCAATTTGTAGTCACTATGTAGTACAATGTGAAGTACCTGGGTGGCAAAAACTGTTAAGTGCTGTGCTACTAACCAAAAGGTTGGCAGTTGGAACCCATCCAAAAGTTCCTCAGAAGAAAAGCTTGTCAATCTGCTTCTGAAAGTTCATGGTCATGAAAATCCTGTGGAGGGCAGTTCTAGTTTGAAACACATGGGGTCCCCACAAGGTGGAATTGAACCTGTGGCAACTGGTACGTAATACAATGTATCTTTCCTTGTAATTACTCAGAATATGAATGGCTAGATATTTTCAGGAAACCATTTACAAGTCTAAGCAAACATTTTCTGTTTGAAATATATATAGTAGTTCTTAACACATTAATTAAAAGGTGGAAGGATTGTAATTTTAAATAACATGTCATATATTAATTATCCACTAATATAGATGTGGAACAATTAGCTAGAAAAGAGAAACCAAAAAATTAACAAAAGAAAGGAAGAAATCCAAGTGGAAGAAAATGCCATTGGTTATTCTCTCTTTTCTTTATTAAGTTGCTATTGAATCTAGGGGTTTGCCTTATGGTTAAAAAAAAGAAAATAAACTAAACTCACTGCCATTGAGTTGATTCCAACTCATAGTGACCCTTGTTGGGTTTCTGAGTTGGTAAATCTTAACGGAAGTAGATTACCCTGTCTTCCTTCCGCAGAGTGGCTGGTGGGTCTGAACTGCCAACCTTGTGGTTAGCAGTCAAATGCCTTAAGCACTATGTCACCAGAGCTCCTTTGCCTTATGGTTAATTTATATAATAATAAACTTCTATTGTATCTGAACTCGGAAGGAAGGTTGGGCAATCCTACTTCCGTAGTGATACTGCCTCGGAAACCCAAGAAGGGGTCGCTATGAGTTGGGGCCGACTCCACGGCACATAACAACAACAACAACAACATTGTATCTAAAAAAGCAAAAAATGGGTATCTTGAATCTGTATATTCAGCATTATAAATTACACTTTCAGAAACTGAAGTGCTAAATTAGTTTGAAAGGTGACATATTATGTTTTCTTTTGTTAAAAGTTTATTTCTATGTAAACAATATAACTTAAAAAGTCGTTCCATCATAAAACATCCTCATATTTTTCTATACTAATTTACATCTCCTGCCACAAAACCTAGCCTAAAATGGCCAGTCACCAAATATTTACCAAACAAGTTAATGAGTGCTTTTATTTAATTTGTATGTAATATGTATAAATGAAGAATTTATCAAAACTCCATACTCAAGCAGGCTTACAATTTCTTTGGTTTGAAAATGTCTGTTATTGGATAGCTGCACATTCACTATACATTAGTCTTGTGAAATTTTCTATTTTGAAGTGCATTTAAGTTGCTTTAAATTTTACACACTTTTTATTTGAGGTATGTTATAGTTGCTTTTCTTCTCTTTCTGCCTGCTACATTAATCCTCATGAAATAATTAAACATCAAAAAATAAATGTATCACTTTTTGCAAACTGAAATTATCTACAGAATAATAGAATTCTTTTTATTAAAAATTTCAGAAACGACTGTTAAAAAACAACTTTTGAATGTAAGTTCCTCTTTCTAATAAAAAGCTCAGATATGTAATGAACATAATTGCTGTCAGTTGCTGTCGAATAGATTCCAATGCATGGTGACCCTATGTGTGCCGAGTAGAACAGCTCCATTGGGCTTTCAAGGCTGTAACCTTTGGGAAACACATCACCAGGCCTGTGTTCGGAGGCACCCCTGGGTAAGTTTGAACTGTCAACCTCTCGGTTAAAATTGTGTCCTTATTTCTGCACCACCAGGGACTCCAATGAGCATAACAGAGGGCAGCAAAACTCAGAAAGTTTTAAAAGTTAACATCTCGTTAAAAACATTATGAGAAATTAAAATATTATAAGACATCTAATACATGAAACTTTAATATTATACACTTTAATCTTTTATTATATGATGAAAAAAATTTTTCTTTCAAAGTTTTTGTATTCATTTCATGGTAACATTATTAAGCTTCTCAAACAGCTTTGGCTTTGCCTTGGTTCAGAATCATGGAGATAGAAACTATGCATGACTCTTAGCTCTAGAAACACTTTTCATGGGGAATGTGCATAGTCCTGCTGTATTATTATCCTTTCAAAATAAAACTGTTGCCTATAAATCTCTGATATGCTGGACATAATTTTCCAAAGCAAGAGTATGCTAGATTAATGATATGAAATATGATATGTAACTTTAACAAGTATTAAGGACTTGCTTTAGGGTAAATGAAGTGTGAATCATTGGGTTACAAATTGTATTAATGACTATTTGATATATTATGGGCTTGTTGTAATTCTAGTCTACATTCTAGGTAAACGACACACCACTGCAAGAAGCAGAAATATCTTTGTCTGTATGCTGGCACACCTTGCTTCCTATAATGGAGTTAAAACCATAATCACTTAAGAAATGATTTCAACTTCTTGTTGTTATTGTTGTTATGTGCCATCGAGTGAGACCCGACTCATAGCGAGCCCTCCTTGGGTTTCTGAGGCAGTATCACTATGGAAGTAGATTGCCCAATCTTCCTTCTGAGGAGTGGCTTCTGGGTTTGAACCGCCAGCCTTATGGATAGCAGTCAAGTGCCTTAGGCACAATGCTATCAGAGCTTCTTAGCAAGTATATTGGACAACTGTGGTCTATAGAATTATCAGTGACTAAATTGTGAGAAGTAGATTGCAGGTCTTTCTTCTAGTGTGCTTCTGGGTGGACTTGAACCTCCAACCTTTAGGTTAGCAGCTAAGCCCACTGGCTCATTGTACTATCCACGGATTCCATAATAAAGTTAGCTATTTTTAAATTTTTGGATTAGATCAACTAGAATTTTTTTACAAATGACAATAGATCACCACCAACCCCTTTCCCTAGCATCATTGTTTATTAAGAACCTTTAAGAATGTGTTATTATCACCATTTTCATAGAGTCAGGGCCAAATAACTTAATCAATGGCATGCAACCGGTAAGTGGTAGGGGTGGGATTAAAATTTGGGTTTGATTCCCAAACCCAAATGTACACTAGGTTATCTACTTTAAGCAACATACCCTTCAAGTTCCCTATTTTACCATTTTTTCTGACAAGTTGTGGCTGTTTATTTTTAAGCTTTTTATTCCAGATATTGTTGTTAGGTGCCATTGCGTTTGTTTTATACATAACAACTCTAAGTACAACAGAACAAAACACTGCACCATCCTCACCATCTTTGCTATGCTTAAGCTCATTGTTACAGCTACTGTGTCAAACCACATCATTGAGGGTCTTCTTCTTTTTTCATTGACCCTTTGCTTTTCCCTGTGTGATATTCTTCTCCAGGGACTAGTCCCTCCTGATAACATGTCCAAAGTACATGAGATGAAAATCTCTCCTTCCTTACATCTAAGGAGCTGTACTTCATCCAAGATAGATTTGTTCATTCTTATAGCAGTTCATGGTATATTCAATATTCTTTGCCAACACCATAGTAAAAGGCCTCAATTCTTCAATTTTCCTTAATTGTTGTCCAACGTTCACAAAATGAGACAATTGAAATTGGCTTGCATCAGGTGTACTTTAGTCCTCAAAGTGACATCTTTGCTTTTTAACACTTTCAAGAGGTCTTTGGCAGCCTATTTGCCCAAAGCAATATGTCACTTTGATCTCTTGACAGCTGCTTCCATTGGTATTGATTGTGGATCAAAGTAAAATGAAAACCTTACAAATTCTTTTGTCCATTTATCATGATGTTGCTTATCGGTCAAATTGTGAGGATATTTGTTTCCTTTATGTTGAAGGGTAATGTATACTGAAGGTTGTAATCTTTGATCTTTACCTTTTTCAATTTCTCTTCACTTTAACCAAGCAAGGTTGTGTCATCTGCGTATCTCAGGTTGTGAATGAGTCTTCCTCAAATCCTGATGCCACGTTCTTCTTCATATAGTCCAGATTCTTGGATTATTTGCTTAACATACAGATTGTATAAATATGGTGAAAGGATACAAACCTGACACATACCTTTACCGATTTTAAACCATGTAATATCTCCCTACTTTATTTAAAATCGATACTAAAGTAGCTGATTTCTTCCAAAACTCAATGAGTGAATTTAGTGTCTGTTAGCATGCCTATGAAACAACATAGTGGTTATGGATTCATGATTTTACAATTAGCATAAATATAAGACAAACTTCTTGAATGGAATACAAAAATATGGAGGATACCTACATCAACAATTAAGAAGTCGAGCCAACACCAGGCATTTGTGAAATATGTTTGGTAGCCATATGCTACCCATTTTAGAAGCATTTCCAGAATGAAAATGTAAGTGAAAACCTTGTCAGCGTATTCCAACATAGTCTTAATTGTCTTTCGCTGATCAATATATATGTCTTCAAATGCCTATAACGAAAAAGTTATATGTTTTAGCTTTCAAAAGCTAGTGGTCTGTAAGCTATATTTTTCTTCATCTATCTACCTATCTATCTATCTATCTATATCTATCTATCTTTCTACAGGGGAACTTATGAGAGCAAGAACTTGATGGGACTTCCTTGTCTTTCCCGGTCTTCCTAATCCACTTTTGCTGTTATTCTCCTTTTCCTTCTCTGACAGGTTTCCACCTTACTGATTTTGGGCTTTTGTGGGTTTTACTACATTTATTATCTATCTGTCTATCGATTAATCTATCTATCTATCTATCTACCTACCTACCTACCTACCTACCTACCATATCATTTCATTAGAATAAGAGGACAGAAGAACAGTAGCTATTGCTATTTATTTCCTCTTAAAGGTCTTTAATTAGTCAATCAGGGGAAAAGTTATACTCTTCATGATTAAATAGCCAAAAGAAAGAAGTGAAAGCATAATTCCAATGAATTAATTTGACTTGCTCCAGAAACAGATCTTGATGTCATATCTTGATGCTGCCACCTTAACATGAAGTTATTTTTTTCCTTTGTTTCTTTCTTTTGCTACTTCTGCTGGGTTCCCCCCCACCACCACCACAGAAGGAAGGATAAAGTTCGGGCTCTATTTCATGAAGCAGAAATTTGATACTGTCCAGTTTTACTAAATACTTAGCTTCACCTGCCTCTTTCTTGTTCCGTTATTTTGTTCATTTCTCAGATATGGCATGACAACAATGTTAATATAAAACTACTTTTCATTTAGACCATAATATGCATTCTTCTAATATTAAGGTCTGTCTGATATTTTATATCTAAATATACATTCCTTTCAATGATGAAAGTGTATTACTTGTCTAAAGCAGTTGGCAAGAAAATCGATTTCACCCAGGGAGATATAGGTCTGCATTAGGATTACAAACTTTAGTGAAAGAAACTTGCAGGTAATTGTGTTTCAATTAGGAAAATTCTTCCTCCCTCACTCCCTCCTTTCCTTCTGTCATCTATCTATCTATGTATCTACCTATATCCGTCATCTCTCTAATTGTTTGAGTATCCCATTTGGGTCTTTGTATTTTTTAAAATACTATCTGTATGTTATACTTTATATTTTTGTAAATGATTTGTCATAAATGTAAATTGATTCTCCTGAAATGACCACTTTCTTATAAAGGAAACCAATCCTTAATGAATCACTTAGGTATGCTGCCCAATATTTATTGTTTCCTGAGCAGCAAGAGAATAATGAGCACAATGGAAGAGAGAAATGATCCCTCAGGACTAGCTGACTATCTCAAAGAGATTGTAATATTACCATTGAGACACAAAATTAATCAAAACTCAGAGCATACAGGCATAGCTTGTTTCATCGTGCTTTGCTTTATTGCACTGTGCAGATACTGTGTTTTTTACAAGTTGAAGGTTTGTGGCAACTCTGCATGGAGCAAGTCTTTTCACCACCATTTTTCCAACATCATGTGCTCACTTTGTGTCTCTATGTCACATATTGGAAAGTCTTACAACATTTCAAACTTTTTCATAGCGCTATCTCACATGTACTTGACTACAGTATAGTGTAAACATAACTTTCATTTGCACTGGGAAACCAAAAAATGCATGTGGCTCACTTTATTGTGCCATTTGCTTTATTGTGGTGGTCTGGAACCAAACTCACAGTATCTTGGAGGCATACATGTATATTCCCAATCACAGAACTTCCATTAACTACAAAGTGGTTGCCATGCTTGTTTTATTATTAAATATGAGAAACTGGATATTTGTATTCTTTGGGTTATGATGAATAAGGTGGAGGGCCAAATTTTAAGAGCTACTTAATAATAAGCAAACACTAACAAATGGCTTATTAGAAATGTACATATGCCTAATAAAAGGAAACCCAGATATGTATAGTTACACATTTTATAAATTAAGTCTATAGTGCAGAAGATATGAATTAAAATGCAGATTAAAGATTCTTTGGATACAAGGACAATGCAGTAGCAAAGATTAATAAGTCACCATTATTATAAATTTTTCCAAATTAATCTTGTAACGTTGTTGCTTAATAGTCACTCACCAAAGCACCACTACTAAGCAGAATCATGAAAACAATGAAAGTCTCAAACCAGTTATGTTCAACAATTCGGAAACATGTTCTTCTTAGATTCCACCATTGCTTGCCTCTCCCTTCTTCCACGCTGATTTGACAACATTTGAATCTTTGTACACAGCCTGTAAGTATAATGATTACATAGGAGTAGATAAAATAATTTTTGCCACTTCGATAAGTACCCTTGGCATGTCCCTGATTTATCTTTTCATTACTATGGGTCTGGCTAGGATATAGGATATAACCGTAGAATATTAAGAACACCATTCAGTAACAAAATGAAGTTGTGAAAAGTATTCAACTTCTTTAAATGGTTCCCTGGTAATAATACCTACTTTTCTTACTTTACAGTGTTATGCACACTACCATTGAGTCGATTCCCACTCATAGTGACCCCTGTTGGGTTTCCAAGGCTGTAAATCTTTACAGAAGTAGATTGTTCCATTTTCCTCCCATAGAAAATCTGGTGGGCTTGCACCACTGACCTTCTGGTTAGTAACTAAATGCCTTACTCATTGCACCAGAGCTCCTTAAAATTAATTTAGTACACTAAAATGTGATTTTCCTGGCCCTGCTCTTATTTGTCATTAACTTCATCATACTGCTTTCACTCACTCTGACATCATAATTACACTATTAGATATTTGGGTGTGTCTTTGGACTGCTAACTAGACAGTTGGTGGTTCAAACCCACCAGCTGCTGCTCAGAAGGAAGATGGGGCAATCTACTTCTGTAAAGATTCACCGCCTCAGAAACCTAACAGAGGTCATTATGAGTCGGAATTGACTTGATGGCAATGAGCTTGGTTTGGTTTGTAGGCACCATAGAAAAAAACTAAACTCACTGCTATCGAGTCACTTCAGACTTATAGTGACCCTATAGAACATAGCTGAACTGCCCCATAGAGTTTCCAAAGCTGTAAATCTTTATGGAAGCAGACCACCATGTCTTTCTCCTGCAGAGTTGCTGGCGGGTTTGAACAACTGACCTGTTGGTTAGCAGCTGAGTTCTTTTAAGTACTGAGCCACCAGAGCGCCCTGTAAACACCATAGAGGATACAAAACAATAATAACAATAACAGTATACAAAACATGTACTTTACAACTAAGCACTTTATATTCTGGTTTTCAAAAAATGCATATAAGCACAGGAGATTGGGTCCTTCATACACACAATCTTCCTTCAAAAGGCAAAAAAAAAAAAAAAAAAAAAGCAGGCATGCTGGAAGAAAAAGGAAGGAAGGAAGAGAAAGAGAGGGGTGGAAAGAAAAAAAAAAAAAAAAAAAGCAGGCATGCTGGAAGAAAAAGGAAGGAAGGAAGAGAAAGAGAGGGGTGGAAAGAGTAAGAGAGAGAGGGGAGGAAGGGAGCGAAGGAAAAGGAAAGGGAAGAAGGAAGATAGTAAACTCATATATAACAGTTCAGAAGTGGAAGGGTTTTCATAAAACTGCCATGAGTTGGAATGGACTTGACAGAAGTGAATTAGATGGATATATGTATTATAGGTGTTCAGAAGAATAAGAAGCTCTTTCATGCTATAGTAGCCCTGATGCGACAGTGGTTAAAATGCTTGGCTGCTAACCAAAAGTTCAGTGGTTCAAACCCACCAGATGCTTCACAGGGAGAAAGATGATGCAGTGTACTTCGGTAAAGATTTACAGCCTTGGGAAGCCAATGGGGAAATTCTACTCTGTCTCACAGGGTTGCTATGAGTCAGAATGAACTGAATGATGGTATGGTTTGGTTTGGGTTTTTATGCTACAGTCAGTTGAAGGTAGTTTTGAGAAGAAATTTGAATGTGTATGATTTGTATAGAAAATAAAGGCAGACTGAATACATATCAGGCCTGTGAGGACAAGACCACCATATAATTTGAAAATATATTCATATCCCCAAAACTCAAATCCCCAAGGAATTCAGATTATGAGAAATACCAGTCATAAGAAAAGCTGCCTCTTCTATCTATTGCCCAAGTTGTGTCAGTACTAGGTATCAAGAGTCAAGGTCCATGCCTAATTCATATTCCTGTCAACAACTATTGGAAAAAGATATTTTCCCTAGAAAACAAGGGTTAGCATTTGTAATTTATTTAGTTTTATTAATCAGAAAGTTATTTTAAGGGAGTCTGTGCATGAGAAACTATATTCTGAGTAGTTTATAAGATGCCAATTTATTGTGAAGTCAATATTTTATTTTAAAAAATTATGTTTATATATTAAAAATTAAAATTTTTTAAAATCATAAATTAGTTTTGAGTATCTTGAACAATTTTATCCTCCATATTCATGATGAGCAAATATAATCAAAGAATAACCTAGATTTCAGACCCTTTTTGTTTGTTAATTTCTTAAAACCAAAGAAAAACACAAACAAAAACCCATTACCAGTAAAGCAATTCTAACTCAACATGACCATGAGGACAGAGTTGAACTACCCCATGGGGTTGCCAAATCTTTATGGAAGCAGACTGCCTCATCTTCCTTCCAAGGAATGACTGGTGGGTTCGAACCACTGACTCTTTGGATAGCAGCCAAATGCTTTAATCATTGTGCCACCAGAGCTCCTTGTTAATATCTTAATGGCAGTGGAAATAGATCTACTACAAAATCTGTTCTTTTCTGGGGTGATTCATTTTGAGTTATCAACAGCTTAAAAATGTGCACTCTACAAATGGAAAATTAACATAAGGATCATTTTATTTACCTTCAGTGAAACAGGCTTCAGGTTCAAGGGTTTCTTCAGGCTCCACTACAGGCTGTTCTTCGGCAGGTGCACCAATGTCTACAGTGCTGCCTTCTGATGAGCTACTGCTTTCGTTAAGTTTCTGTAAAGGAGATGGACATAAAAAGTCGATCACTTCACCTTTGGTAACTACTAAATGGCCTAGTAAAAAATTGAACTTATTTTGAGTTCTTCTCAAAGGAAAGAGATTGTAAGTTTAGAACAAAAGAAGGATTAAAAAGAGGAAGAAATAAGAAAGTCATTGTCTATGTTAACTTCTTCACCATATTCACAATGCAGGCATAAAATCAGACTGGTATGTCAGGAAATTAAACATCTCCATAAGCAACATACACTAAGCCAAACATTGTCCTGTGAATCAGGGAAGTATGAGGGCGAGGGAGAGAGAAAGGGAAAGAGACAAAGAGAGGATCCCTAGAGCCCTACTTAGAAGGAAATTAATGTAATTTTATTCCACATTTTAATGTTTGGTTTTAAATATTTCTTCAACAACCTCTTACTTCTGAGCAAATACTACCTGTTGTTTTCACTCACATTACATCATGGTTAGGATGTTCAAAAGTATTTATTATAAATGTGTTTATATATGTATATTCCTATGCTCTTTGGGTAGAAGTTGTTTAGCTGAAAAATACACCAATAAGCCAGTGACTTTAGACACATTAAATTTAAAAATTTCGATTTCTGGCAAATAATTCAGAGCCTGCAGTGTTATAAGCTGAGATAAATAACGGGTGGGAAAATTCTATTTTCCTGACAAATAATGGTTATATGTTCTCCCTGAAAACCAGCACTGGCTTTTAAATTTTTGGTAAAAGTAATCCATTCTTTCAGTAATTTTTAAACTAATATTTATTGAATACTACCAACATGCTAAGTTCTGAGTATTAATTGGAGAATGAAACATCTGTGGTCCTTGCTTTCATGGGGCTTTCAAATAGATTACAGTGTTTCTCCAACTTTAGGTTTATATAGATAACCTAACAAGTATTTAAAAGCATACACCAACCAACCATTAAATCTATTATTATAATGTTTTAAATAAGAAAAATGAAACACAACATTAAAATCATTAATGAGAATTTCATATATATAAGAAGTTGATTTTTTTGAGAAAAATTTCATCAAATTTTTGCTCAAAGAAAGATAGCTCATAGGTCTGTGTCCATATTCAATTGCTATCTTCCCTTATGTTTCATTTCTTATAAAATACAAAAATATTAACTTACAATTACAAGTCATCAAGACATTTAATGATATGGTAGCTGTGTCATATTTCTGAAGGCTTAAAGATGGTCACAGAAATTACAAAATGATTTCTCACTGAAGACTAATTTCAATAGTCCAACAAATATTAAAAAGGCCTGCGTTCTACACTCAAAAGTTGGAAGGTTGACTGTTCAACATGGGATACAGTAGCAAATAGAATTTTAATCTACTTTTTTTGGTTGCATTTGGCTCTGAAAATCTTTATATTCTGTCCCAGCATTTGTTTTGAATTAAAAATATGCACAGTAACAAGTCACTGATTTTTTTCCTCTGACAAATAAAGGCAATCATCAAATGTTGGGCTTGAGTCACAATCTCAGCTAAACCATTTATGAAACAATCTTGTCTGAAGAAATTCTGATATCTTATCTCAACATTAAAGGCAGAGATTCAACATTTGGCCCTAAAGTGATAGACTCACAAAGTGAGATATGTCACTTCAACAAATGACTTAAAATCATAGAATTGGGTTTTATTGGTACTATAAAAATCATGAAAAAATTCATTCATTATTTTATAAAAACCATGTTAGCAAGATTTTGTCATCACCCAGTGTTCTTGATAAGAAAAGCAGTCTTGTACAAGGTACCCATTCTTCACGTAAAAATCAATAAATGGAATTTATTGTTTAACCATTTTCACTATTTTCGTCAACATTAAGTAAGAACCAGAAGGCATATTGCTTTCTGTTGGTAAATGTGTGTCTGGAGTGGCACTCAGATGAAACAAATTAATTTCAATGGCAAATCTCTTTTGTTATACACATAGCTGTTAGATCTGATCCCCACATATGCTTTCAAGTCTACATTAAGACTCACAAAACAAGAGTTTATTAGAAACAAAAGAAACAGTGGAATTACACACTTGTAAATTATTTTATCAACTTAAATGTTTCCATGGAGAAAATATTGTGATGAACTTAACAAATAAGAGCATCTACAATTCACCCTTGAATTGAAAAAACAACAAATCACACATTGATGCCATAAACTGGCAATCATTTTTTTTAATGATAAAAATAATATCCTTACAGAAATTATTTCATCAGCTATAGCAAGCTAACTTCTTCTTTGCTGTAGACATGCATTCTATTTAACATTTGTTTACAGTAATTCAGCCAATCTAATTATATACTTGTTATAAAGCAAATACTATAATAGTAACTTGGGAGCTCTGGTAGCATAGTGGCTAAGGCACTTGACTGCTCACCAGAAGGCTGGTGGTTCAAACCCACCAGCCACTCCTTGGAAGGAAGGTTGGGCAATCCTACTTCCGTAGTGATACTGCCTCAGAAACCCAAGGAGGGGTCGCTATGAGTCGGGGCCGACTCGACGGCAAATAACAACAACAACAACATAATAGTAACTTAAAGCAAGCAATAATAAAACCCTCTGGTATGGTATTATTTAACTCACAGGGGAATTTTTTAAAATAATTCTTGCAAAGTCTTTAAAAATTTTTTGCTTAGCATAGTCCTTCACACTGTGCATTCTGCCTAAATACTAATGAACCCACTGCAATTGAGTTGGTAGCGACCCTAAGGTTTTTCAAGGCTGTAAATCTTTACAGAAGTAGACTGCTTCATCTTCCACCCATGGAGCAGCCTGGGGGTTGGAACAAATAATAGTGGGCATCATATCAAACTTTGTTTTCATTACTAACTATTAATCACCTAGGTTTCAGATTTCTAATCGGCAACTTAGAGTCCCAAAGTAAAAAGATGTGAACCTAAAATAATATGAAATTAATTTTGTTTAATGCCTACCCATTGCCTCACTAAATATCCTTCCACGATGTATCTGTCCCGGATGATGGTAAAATAAATTACAACTTTTTTTATGTACACAGTTACTTCAGGTCTTAATGAGTCAGAATTTCTCCAGGTGAGAGTGCTATTACCGATACATCCAACCTCACTCTTAAGAACATTCTTTCAAATTACCTGGTGTATTAAAACCTAGCTTAGAATATGTTACCAGTTACTGACTATATTTCTCAGTGCTGTTGTTTTTTGTTGCCATTAAGTTGAGTATATCTTCCCTTCGATACACACAGTTAGGAATCATCTACATCTTAGGAGTTTGAGTGCCTGGGTGGTGAAAATGGTGAATGTCGTGCTTTTAGCCTTGGGGGAAAGGCCTGGTGATCTACTCCTAAAACGTCATCCATCAAGATTCCCATGGAGCATAGTTCCACTCTGACACACGGGGTCTCCATGAGCTGGAGGCGACCTGAAGTCAACTAGTTCTTGAAGATGATTTAAAAGACGATACTTGACTATCATTAGTATTCCAAATAAACACCTGCTCTTGAAAATGGTCTAGGTCTAGACAAGTGATTCTCTACATGTTTACAAATTAATTTTCAAACATTTATCAAGCAACATAAGTCTGCCTGAACTACTGTAGGAAAACAGTGTCTGACGGCGCTAAAATTCAATGTGCTTTCAAAGTAAGAACTTTTTATTCCCTTCACACAGACCTAAACCCACTCCTTTAATCAAGTTCTTGATTCTGGTTATTTGCAGTATTATTCTTCCAGCATCCAGACTCAAATGTCCTTTTTGACTCTTACTTATTTCAAATGTTGTTGTTGTTGTTGTTATATGCCGTTGAGTCAGACCCCACTCATAGCGACCCCTCCTTGGGTTTCTGAGGCGGTATCACTACAGAAGTAGATTGCTCAACCTTATTTCAAATACTGTCGGTAAATTAAATTCAAAATTGCTTAATTCCAGCCTCATCCTCCAAATTCCTGTGAACTTTTAGTTCACTCTTGTTGCCTCTCCTTTGGAGAGTAATAGCAGTCACCCCTGCTCTGGTTTGGTTTTTTGGTGATTCAAGGCTCATCTAACTCAAGACCCTAACGGGCCACCTGGCATATGCTTGATGCCTGATAAATGTTTGGTGAACAAGTTAATGTGTTTCACACATTACTGAAGTTTTTGTCTCCAACTTAGTTTTTCAGCCAAATCTCCACAAAGTGACTTTCTTAATATTCTCTGGCTTTTGCTTATACTGAAAGAAAAATAATTGCTCTCTCATCTAAACTTGTTTCAATGCTATATATGTACATCTCTTTAGGGACATATTGCTTTTTGTTGTAATCTAGTTCCACACTAATTGACCTACCACATTAACAATATTTTGCATTTTCTCTGTCAAATATACTGATGAGGCCCGTGGTGTGTCAAAATCATTCTACTTCCATCGGATGAGTTGTATGTTTATCAAAAATAGTTAAGTCCACCAAAAATATTTTAAAACTTAAAGAATAAAAAAGAATAAGTTATGTTTGTTTTCCAGTCACTTGCATAATTATTATATTATGTAATTTAATTTAATCTTGCATAATTAAAGAACTGTGAAAATAAAGTTAGCTATTTTATCCACAAAAATATGTTAAACTCATTATATAAATGCAATAAAAGCAGCTTCTCAAGCTCTATAGACATACACATTAAAAGATAATGTAAAATTTGGAATGGATGAGCTCATTATAAAAAAAGAGGGGTGATGATGTAAATTTCTAGAAGGATGCTAAATTCAGTTGTTGTTGTTATGTGCCGTCGAGTCAAACCTGACTCATAGCGACCCCTCCTTGGGTTTCCGAGGCAGTATCACTACGGAAGTAGGATTGCCCAACCTTTAGCTTTACAAATTTCAAGTTCTTTGTCCCCTTTGAAGAAATTAAACTGGAATCGTAGGTGATGGATTACAGGTGTGCTTCATGCTAGAAAGATAATGCAGAACTTAAGAAAAGTGTTATAATTCTTTTCCATTAAAATGAGAATTCAAGTAATTAAATTTTCTA